TCTGTGCTGCATTGTGGAAGGTGTCAAGGTGGACGTTTGGATCCTCCTTTCCAGTGAATTTTTCCACGTCCAGCTTGACCTTACGCCTCAATTTTTGTGCATGTACCCTGGCCGAAAAGGGTGATTTGGCCAGGGTGTGCTTCTTTGCTCCCGCCTTCTCGTCCACCTTTTCTTCCAGGGCACGTAGCTTTCTTGCTACACTTCCTATCTTGTCCAGATCATCCTCATCATATGAGAGCCTGGTATATGCCGACGCCCTGGGCTTGCTTTCTGCTTCCTCCTCGTCTTGGCGAATCGTCTCAGATTCCCTAGAACTACGAGATTGGGCGTGACGACTCCCGCCAAGTCTTTCCATCGCGCTAGTCCGGCCCATCTCAGGACCAAGACGTAGCTTGGCAGACTTGCGGGGTCCATCCTCTTTGTCCCCTACGCGTTTGAAAGCCGAATCTCGGGTCTTGCTGGGTTTGGCTATAGCCTTACCCTTCCTCCTGCGGGCCGCCTCTTGCTCCGCCTCATCAATTTCATGGACATTTGAGGGTGCTGCTTCATTTATGGTCCCCGTCAGATTCACCAGATGTATAGGGACCATCCTAGGGACAAATGTTGACGGGGTCGACACCGGAGGTGGCATAATTGGTGGCGTCATGCCGGGATAGGCAAATGGAATGAAGCCCCCTTCCTGTTGCATCATGGCCATCACCTGTTGATAGCCCTGTAGAGCCTGAGCATTTGCCGGGTCAGCAGCAAACTGAGCCCAAGCTGATGGGTATGGTGTGAATGCTCCACCAGGCGTCGTTACCGAGCCTGGGAACATTGTCGTCGTCGGCGTAGGAGTAGGGGTTGACATGATTGGGATCATGCCAATCGATCCTACAGTGGTGATCGGAGCAAAGGTCGTCCCAATGCTCGACATCATCAATGGGATGGCAGGAGTGCTTTCACTCGCAGCCTGGCTTGACACAACGTTGTAGTTGCTTGAAGACATGATTGTGGATATTTAGTGGGGGTAAAGTTTTGACCTGGTCGAAAAAACTTTAACTTGGTCGAAAAAATCGGCCCCACGGTAGGCGCCAAAAATGATGGTGTAAATATAGCGGGGTGGGTTAACCGGGTTTGACCTGGACACACTCGACCCGTAATATAAAACACACAACAAGAACACGAAGTATGACCTAGACCGGGTAAATCTCCTCAATCCGAATTATATTTCTTACTCTATCTCAAGAGTGAACTTTAGTGAGAGAAAAATTGGATCCCCTCCTCTATCAAATATCATCATATTTATAGAGGAGGATTTGTGACCCTCCCCTGTTCATCCATGGACAAAATAGGAAGCTCGTGGGAAGGTCACTGTAGATAATGGAAGCACTGTACAATCATAGAATTTAGCAACT